GCAACTTTGACCGGTTGCTTGCCAAATAGTGAGCCCACATTTATCTGTACTGCTAAGCCTTATATTGGCTACCTAGCTTACTTTGTCTTCCTCATCAGCCAGCATCCTTGGTATCTGTTTCTCACTGAGTTGATTCTCGCTAAGTAGCCAATATAAGGCTTAGTCATCGTGCCAAATAGTGAGCCTGTTGATATGAAAACTATGTTAGAACTGGTTTATAAATGGTTGTTAATGATTAATAAAGTGTTTACAACCTAATTCATAACCTAATTATAAACCCTTTATGAATCCTTTATAAGGTATAATCTTATTGTAAAGTGGTACAATTGAATGTATTACGTCCACAGATTGAAAGCAATAAAATTAAGGTTCCGTTCAACTTAATATTATTTCTTTCAACCAATGTAATGCAATTATGTGCAATCAGTTGACATAATAATAATTTCGCTTCAATTTGTTCAGTGAACTACACATTTCTTTCTCCAAAAAATCCAGAAGATGTCAATATTATGGAAGCCCTGAGAGACTAGTGAGAACATCTCCAGGGATCCTTTAAAAAAAACAAAAACAATCTTGTGTTTCAGACTTACAGCTCAAACTTATACATAAAGTACAAATATGCCAATCACATTTTGACATATAGGGGGACTTTCAGGCATCATTCTCTAAACATGCTTTAAATACTTAACCTGCCTCTGTCAAGGCCTCTTAACTGATGTCCTTTTTTCAGATACGAATAAAATTGCAATTCAGCCTCATAATTAAGTCAAAGCTGCTACCCCGTACTAAAAAAAGCACGTAAGCTTAAAGGGTCAACATGTATTTTTCCTCAGTCAGCCTTAGAGGGCTATGAACACCACATTTGAATGTTAAAAAAAATGGTGTTCCGTTCTGCTCTTTCTTCTAATTTAAAGTAGGCTTGCTCAGGTATAAAAGGTGATGTAGCTATTTCTTTACATCGATTAGTCTTTCAGGAACAATACTCAGAGTAAATGCCTTTAGGGTACACAGTACATCTGGTTTAAACCAAGCCTGGGGTTTTTTACTTATAGTGCAAACTCTCCAATCACTCATTATTCATTATACCCATCAGTGATGACCTCACTGTAAATCTACCAAATGTTTTTCTTCTTCTTTCTGTTTCCTTACTTGAACCCCGTCATTAGCAGCAGAGATTAGAGTCTAAATCTGAAAGCAGAACTTTTGTGAACACTGTCTCATGAGTGGTGGAGCCTCTCTAAAATGTAAGCACCGGAAAAAGCTTCAGCTCGCAACGTCATCCCTCATCAATCTGGTCGTCTCCGGTCAGCGGCAGAAAAAGACAAAAGCTGGAGGAGAGCGCTTCCTCCATCAACTGTGAGGGAGGCGATGAGTGCACGGCGTGATTAGTTGTGAATGGGACGCAGAGGTCTGATTGGTGGAGAGAGCCGGGGTCAGGCGTTCTGCCAGCAGCTCATACAAGGCTGCTGATTGCTTTTCATCCTCTGATTACAGTAATTTAGATCTGCAGCAGGCCGAGGGGCCGCGTCTGCTGCTGCTCAGTCTGGGGCTGCTCAGTCTGGGGCTGCAGTTTAGTTTGCTTAGGGATCTTTTTTATTGTCAGAACTGAGTGAATGAGGCTGAACAACTACACACAGTGTTCACTCAAAAAAACACAACAGCTGTGTTTTGATAAAAGGTGGGATTCATGTTTGGGAGAAAGTCTTGGGGGCTGTGATTGAAGGAGAATGTGATTAACTATTACAAGGATTTTTTGTAAAATTCTACACAATTTGGTAAATGCAGATCATTATTTGTTTTGTCAGAAGATACTGAATCAATCATGCTAGCATATTGTAATCATCAAATTCAAAATTAAACCTTATTTTTCATAACTCATTTTTGGATTTAAACATAATCAGTTTCTTACATGGTGAATTCAAGAAATATATAAAATTTGTATCTTCAGAATCTAAGTTTGTGAAATGAAAAACAAAGAATCATCTATTTTCAAATAACTAACATCATTTTGGATTCAAAACACTCAAAGGCTCACACAGTTCACAACCACTAGTCATATTCCTAAAATGTTATATGTTGTAAAAATCCATGGCTCCAATATCCAATTCTGTGAAATATAAAACAATGAAAGCTATCAGTTTTCTCCCTTTTGTCTTTCAGGCGGCCATTTGGTCACACTGGGACCTTGGATAATCAAAGCTGATGAGGCGGTTAGTTGCGAAAGGTTTTTCCAGGAGTGGAGGTGATGATTAGTCAAGGAACTGAGCAGCGCTGGCCTCTTCACCCGCACATATTACAAGGTTAATCTCTCCATTGATTACAGCAGAAGAGAAACCAATACCTCACTACAGGTTTTCTGTTTCCACATATGTATGTTTGCTGCTCTGTGTGATGCCGCTGTATTCACAGGAATGATGAATGATGCTTTCAGTTGATACCATCTTTCTACCACACCCATTACTCCATATTGGAAAAATAAATCATCTTAAGCACAACATTAGATTCACATTTATTGACAAAAACATTTTTCAAAAGTGTTTCTTTCTACAGCAAAGACTATTTTCACAGAAGTAGTAAAAACAATGACTTGTGTAAAGGGCATAAATATACATTCTGCCGTCTGCTGCCTGACGTCTAAAATCTTCACCATGATGAAGATGAGGAGAGGTCCACAGATGTTCCTGTAACTGTCCATCATTTAGTCTCCATGGGTGATCAGATAGATAACACTGTTTCAGAGATATCTGCCCCAAAGGAAGCCTTCATTCTCTCACACACAAACACATCCACATACAGTATATACAAACACAACAGAGAATCGGTGCAGTGTGTGACCTCGTGCCCCCTGTTTTTGGTGACTCCACATCATGCTGTGTGTTGTCACGTGTGTTTACACAATAGGTGCCCGTGTGCCTGGCTCCTGGGGGCCCTCGCCCTCTGGGATGCTGCCTCAGAGGTGACCTAGTTCTCCTGATTGTCAGCAGAAGGCAGTTCCATCAGCTCGCTTTGTGCCGAGGCACTGAACTGTGCTGGGACCTGGGACAGGCCAATTGGACTTGTGTAATGAAGCTCATCACACACACACACACACACACACACACACACACACACACACACACACACACACACACACACACACACACACCAAGTCCAGGGGGGCAGCAGAATTTATAGCAGCCATTTATTACCCCCTCCTCTATCAAAGAAATGTGATTCCTCGGCATGTTTCTGATGCATGCACCGCACCGCCATTATGGGCCATTATTGGGAGGTGACAGAGATGGAGCAGAGGGTGTTGATAGATGTTGGTGCAGGGCCCGCTGTTATTACGCCATTTATTGAGCGGAGAGTGCGAGGCACTTCCCACAAAATGGCCGCCGAGCTTCAACATGGCTCCGACTGCGAGGAGTAAATGATTCACATCTGACGATCGGCGCTAAAAATGTAATACACGTTCATTTGCTCCACGATAAAGACAGAGATTTCAGTACTTCTTCACAGCGGTGTATGAATGGATATTTACAAATGACATTAATCATACAATACTGTTTAGGATGTAAAGAGATCCATAAAAAAACACATCTCAGCTTCGAGAAATATGTACAAGAACACTGCACATTCCCACACTGAGTATGGGTCACTTCACACAACATACTGTTACACTGAGTGCAGCAACTTCCTACAGCCTCTCTAGCCTACAGAATACTCATCAAATACAGAAGCAACAATGGCATTACATTCATATAAATAACAAGAATAATCCCAGTTTACCCCCAAAGAGTCACTTCAGCACTTTTGGCTCCATTCATGTGTTTAAACTGAAGACCAGCTTCACTGTGGGTCCTTTTCTCCCTTTAGAGGTGTACTTGAGGTCGTGACACCAAATCCCTTGGTATATAAAAAAAAAGGAAACGTCTCTTTGAGCATTGTTCCTTACAGGTCAGGGGGGCCTTGGAAGTCCATGGATTTTTTTCATAAGGCCCAGGAGATGGCAGGTTTCACAGATAAGAAGATGTCAGTTCATCGTAGTCTCTTTGAATGGCACAGATATAGAACAGAGCAATCCTCCGTCTTTGTTTACTTTGAGACAAAGTTTCCGGCCTGAAGGCGATCAGCGGAGACGTTGAAGGTGTTGGTAACTGTTTTCTTACAAAGAGCTGAAGTCCCGCTCCGTTTCCAGGTTAGCTTCTGTTCCATCATCATCAGTTTTCAATAGATTTTCTCGTGTTGCTGGATTTTAATCATCAGTATATAATTGAAAATGCAGAACATGATACCTGTCTTCTGTCCATATCCTACATTAAGCAGATATCTACTACAGTCATTGTGTTTACTTATCACATCGGAGACCTATATTCGGAATGACATCAATCAATTGACCATGTTACAGTCAGATTTTTCCATTCATCTAATTTCTCTATCGCCAAGTAAACAAGAAACCTGGTTTCTGAAGGAGGGCTAAGAGAAAAGAGTTTGAGTCTAGAATGAATCTCACAATAAATGTTGTTTTCTCCTGTATAATTATTTTTGAAAACATACTGTCAAGTGGCAAGATTATAGACACCATTATACCAAAGAATATGGTTGTTAAACACTTGAATCCTGTTTCAGCTTATTCCAAACACTGATGAATAAAAACCCAGGTTTCTATAACACGATGTGTCCAGTCTGGCCTGAGAGGTGGGGGGGGGGGGGGGGCCTCGTGGAGCTCTGCACCCCCATCTGCCCCTCGTGGTTGGGGATGATTGCTTGAGAGAAAAGATGGCGAACCAAACTGCCCTCCTCTCTTTTCTATGCAGCAGGTTCTCTGTCGGAAGTAATGAGTCACATCAACCGCTTTCTGCTCGCAGCGCCGTGGTAACGCAGGAGAGGAGTGATGGAGCGAAGCGAGGAAAAGAGGAGGAAAATGGAGAGATAGAGAAAAGCGGAGGGGGAGAGAAAGAGAGCAAAGTGTGTTCATAGACAGTTCTTTCTGCTCCTGGCAGATTCTCCATCTCTCTGTTCCTGCGTCCTCCATCTGTCTGCTTTCTCTTGTTGCTCCCAGGATGAAAATGACAAGAGGAGAGGGCTGCGTGGATTTGTTTTAGGCTGTGCCTGTGTCCTTTGCTTTGGCGAGCTGTTGCCCGATCTGTCCGTCCTTCACAGCCCTCGGCCTGCGTTGGGCTTTAGCTTGATGACCCACTCTCCTCCTGAGTTACTGTTGAACAGATCCAGAAGGTGTGTGTCGGGATCCAGGCAGTGCTCACCTGCAGAAACACACACACACATGAGTAGAAGCCCTCGTTGTTTGAATGTTAAAATATATATAAAATAAGGTTGATTTTACTTATGAAAACGGCTACAATTAAAGATTATTTTCATCATCGATTAATTTGCAGAATATTGTCTCAATTCATCGAATAGGGTACAAATGGACATTTAAAGTTTGTTTGATACCCATCCTGAGAGATTCTTGGAATTATTATTCAAATTTATTTTTCAACTATTCAATAAATTGTTACATTTTTCAACACTTTTATCAATTTAAGACTGGCGTTTGATTTAAACAGTAAGCCAATAACCACAGATACGAATGTTTGAATTCAGAAGTTTCATGTCACGAAACTGATCTGCATAAACACATGTGTGCAATGAGCATTTGTCTGCTCTGATAACTACAGATGCACTGCTCGTGTCTCTTTGCCGTTTGCACACTTCATTAAGTAAGACCTTGCTACCCTCATCAGTTAAACGAGCAGAAAGACATGCAAATGCAGAAACACTGGAGCCACGTCCAACTCACCAATGTTCCCTCCCACTTCGAACAGGGCGCAGTCCGGATACGCCACAGAGCCGTTTCTGTTGAGAAAAAACATGTGTAACATCCATCTATTCATGAAGGACATGTCTTTCTAAAAGGAAATATACGTCAGGTGACAACAGACTACCACAAAACTCTTAAACTCAACTGCAGTGCACACTACGTGACATCATCAGCATGTATTCATTTAAACGGGCAGAATCGTACCTTCTCATTTTGCCCTTCCCGTTGTCAGGGCTGCGGAGGGATTGGCGCTGAAACTGTGTGAGCAAGTCTGAGGCTCGAGAGTTGATGTTGAGTTGATACTCCAAGGTGCCGCTCACCAGATCCCCGAGCTGGATCTTCACCGTACGACACAGCTGTAAAGGGAAACAGCAGTTAATACATATTATTCGTTGTATAGTAAGTATATATATATCAGTGATGCAAACACAGGTATGGTGAAAAAAGAGAGAACTATTCGAAGCAGGAAAAAACAGCGTAATATACCATCTGACAAAGGCCTGTGCTATAATGCTTCAATTAACTGGCTATTATTTATAATATACTCAGATCAATAGGAGACAGAGATGTTAAGTTATAAATCAAGGGTTTTTATTATTATTTACAGCAGGGGTGGGGAACCTTTTTCCTTTCAATTTTTACAACATCCTCCGAGGGCCGTACAAATTATTGAACTCAACCTCTGCTTAAAAAAACTAAAATCACAGCCAATTCATTTGGCCTTTCTTTCATGCTGTGCAAAGAAAAAGCAACCTCTTAATCCAGATATCTTACCATGACTCGCGCATGCATGCATGCATGTGTGGCATGACTACCAAAACAGAAAGATATGGACACAAGATGTGTGCAAATGTATCCAAGTGAACATGATTTAAGTGGGGGGACCTAACCTCCTCTAGGGGGGTCCGGAGGCATGCTCCCACGGGAATTTTTTTTTTTTAAATATTGAAGTTAAAAGCATCAATCTGGTGCACTTTGAGAGCAACATGAGGAGATCTATGGGTACATCTTTCAACACCCATTTGAAACAGAACTGTAAGCAGATTTTTCTTTTNGTCTGCTCTGATATACTACAGATGACACTGTCGTGTCTCTTGCCGTTCCTGGGCAACACTTGTATATCATTAAGTGGGATTGATTTGAAGGGCACTTGGCTTACCCGGGTAATGTCCGCTCTCTATCAGTTTATGAGAGAACGGCAGAAAAGCAGCGCTCAGTGCCCTGAAGAATGACACGAAATCACTGGGACCTTCCTGGCTCTCTAAGAACACTTACCACCCATCCTTGACCGCGCATTATGCAAAGACCAACGCTGTGTATACGAAACAGAGGTCGCTCAGAGTCCGGGGAATCTAGGATACGCTATTGACGGCTGCAGAATGGGCACCACACGCGCAGGGAGGCCGGGGAGCGGCCGTTTACAAAGACTCGAAAAGAGTCTCCTATTTTTTTCCAGGAGAAAATAACATGTTGGTATGATCTGCTACTCTCACGCTATGGTCGGATTTGGAAGAACGGAGACATGTCTATTCTACAAAGGAAAATTAAGATAGGGACGGATGCTAAAAGGACTCGAAGGTGATTACTATAAATACCCTAGATCATGAGACAGATTACAAAATCTTGTCGACTTAAACTGTGAGCAACCTGTGGGGACAATATGTGGTTTCTTGTAGCCGAGGTCACTACTGACCTGTAAGGTTTTTTTAGCTACGAACAGGTCACGTGTGGGATGGAATGTAAGAGGACCCCTACCCTGAGCCTTTGCGAGAAGCCCTGACAGGAGACTAGTCCGACCACACCGAAATTTTGCGAGTCAGCTGTATTTCATTTAAACGGGCAGTAATCGCTTTCTTATCCTTCTCATTTTGCCCTTCCCGTGACAGAGGCTGGCGGAGTGTGATATGGACTGCTTGATAGACTGATGTTGTTGTGAGTCAAGCTGAGGCTTCGAGAGTTAGAGATAGTTGATACTCCAGGTGCCGCTCACCACGACTCCCCGAGCTGGATCTTCAACCAGTACGAACACAGCTGTAAAGGGAAACAGCAGTTAATACATATTTATTGTTGGTATATGTAAGTATAATATATATTCATCTTGCAATCTGCTCATTTATATAAATAGTTATCACCGCAATAATCCAAATTTAATTTTGTCTTAATTTACATTATTTAATTTCGCATTCTGTTCTTGTACATATCACATTCTATTAACATGTATATAGACTTTTTGAACTACTTTTTATTTTGTATTTTTGTATTTTATGTTATATGATATATTGCTGGAGGAGCTCAGGTCAGAAGATTTTCATTGCCATTTCTACACTGTGCATATGACCATAAATCCCTTGAATCTTTGCAGGGCTCGACAGTAATGGTTGCCAGGTTGCCATTGGCAACCATTCGGAAAAAATGTCAGCCACTTATTGGCCTTTGGTTGCCATCAGTGGCAACCAGTTTTTAACATAAAGAAATAAGGACAGCAACAGCTAAATGTGCATCCCAAAAGAGATAAATGTTAAATATTTGTTGTATTAAGACGAGTGATATTTAATTTTTGTTGTGACCAGTCGGAACCTGATACTTAAGTTGCACGTGCGCGGTGCGCCGTGTGTTTGTTTTACAAAAAATGGCGAAGCAAATTAAGTTGTTTGACTGTGGGGTAAAAAGTTCGGCCAACCCGTCAACATCTCAAACGAATGTTCATAGTGTTCGACTGATAAAGCACAAGATGAAACCGAACGAAAAACAAAGAGGAAGATTGTCCATTCACTTCTGGTAAAAGTTCCTTCAAAATAAGAGTCCCGATCTTATTACTACCAAAATAAAACTGCAAAACGAAACTTTACCATAGAAAAATATTGGCATACAAATATAATCACTGATATAAAAAGGTAACACATTTTAAATATAGTTAGACATATTAAAGGTAATTTACAGCATTAATAATTAATATCTAATTCTTATCTGTGAATGGTTTTAATTTATTTAACATTAGAAATGTATTAGTCTGGCCAATCCAAGACTTCAATGCTGAAGGGCCAGTGGATCTATGGTGGGGATACGGATGACCAAGAAACTAATGACTTGCTCAATTCATTTGTGAGGGATCTGTGAAGAACAACAGCTGCACTACTGGTGTTTTGTATACCAGCAATTGAGGGTGGACAAGTTTACTACCACTTTAGTTTCAAATAATTGTGTTAATTACTTATTGTAAAGCATTTGAACATTCTTTTGTGTCACATGCTCATTATTAAGTTGATGTATTGTATAGTATCTTAATTATTTAAAATATAAGGTGACTAAAAATGGCAACCGTATTTTCAGTGTTGGCAACCAAAAGCTGATGCCTGGTTGCCAGCCTGGCAACCACTTTTAAAAGTTAGCGTTGAGCCCTGCTTTGAAAAAAAAGTAGTAGCATCTAAACACCGAACACCATGTTACATTTGACTGACAGAATGAAGCCGCTCACCTCTGACGTGTTCTTATCCGTTTTGTCTCGGCTGTCTGTGTGGATCTTCCTCAGAAGGTTCTTGATGCGGCGATCGTAGAACTGGTAACGCCGGTTACTGTTTTCATTCAGCTTACGCACCTGGCTCATGAGGAAGTTAGGAATCTGAAGAGAAAGGGGAACATGACGCAACATTATTTTTATGGGCTCTCTTTGCCTTTTTTTTTTAAATCAATGTTTCTTTATTGAAGAACAATCATAGAGGGCACAATTGAGACAATGGTCTTACTTCCATTACTGATGGAACTATTCATGAAACTAACTAACCATCGCCACCCAAAACCCCTACCTTGAAAACCCAGAGAGACACAAGTTTAATCAAAAAGCACATTGATTCCCTGTTAAAAGAGAAAACAGTGTATAAATAATAAATAAATAAAATAAAAAGTAAAGACAGATAAGTAAATAAAAAAGGTAAATACGAGGTAGGTTGGGAGTGTATGGAGGCTATTGAAATAATCAATAATAAAAAGCGTTGTAGAACACCTGGGCTGTGAGAACCCTAATAATGAACCAAGTTACATTTAATTACAGCTTTGGCTAAAATTTTATTTCCAAATTGCCAGACAACAGGGCTATGAAATGGCAAGTTTGTGTGAAGAATCTTGGACCTTTATTAACTAAGAAACCGTCCTAACTTCACAGAAAATGTGGTTATGAGCATAAGTACAAACTGAATAAATAAATCCCCTTTTTTATCGAATTCTTCCACAGTTTAAGGTTGAACATGTGTGCGGCCCTACCGTCCAGAGCAGGTCCTGGTAGCGGATGAGGAGCCTCATGACGTCAGCGGCCTTCTCTGCGTGTCCTTTCTCCGCGCCCTCCGTCAGCCTGCTGGGGACGGCCTTGTGGAGGAAGAGGTTGGGAGCCATGATGGTGGCTACAGCCCAGAGGTTCATCCTGTTCTTCCTCTCCCTGGAGACCACCTTGCTAAGGAACTCCAGGAGGGCCTGAGGGACACACGGACAGAGACAGGTTGTGAAATAAAATGTTTAACCTGGATGTTGAACTACACTCACTCATTCTCCACAGAAAATTAAATTCTAAACTTTTTGTTATGGTTTCTTATTTTAGTATTTATTACTGACACTCATCACGAAAATCATATCACAACATATGACAATTCTCAAATGTAGGCATATGCCAGACAGTTTGCACACGGCACAACAACTGCTTTTATAAAGTCTTTCTAGGGCGTTACCTATGCTAATAATAAAACATTTAGCCACAGACTTCCAATTTAGGTTAAATTCATTCAGCACATGTCTTAACAAAAGAAAATTAAGAGAAATGTTAAGAAAAGCTGCATGAGGCCCATTGTGTAAATCTTGAAAAGGCAACCTACACTGAGGCACAACATGGAGTGAAGCGAGCTGTCACATTGAATGAATAATCTGTATCTCCTCTACTGAGAAGTATGTTAATGCAGTTAGTTTCAGCTGCCTCCACTGGAGTCAAAGTAATTAGTTCAGGTGGGTTTAAAGCTCCTGGATGCTATAAGCAGAGCTGACTGCTCACTTGTGTCGGTGAAAGTGAGTCATGGTTAATGCAATCCATTACATAACAGAGCGGAGGGTTTCAAATGTGGATTAAACTGTGGATGTGGTAATGCATTATCAAAACAGGACTTTGGTCCTGTCGGGTTTCATAAAGAAGGGGCTACATTCAGATGAATTTCAGCTAGGAAAATTGATTGTGAACAATACATGAAGTTACTTTGAATTTTGCTCTTTTGGGGTCATTTATAGATTCCGTAAAAATGCCTGTGTGAAGTTTCTAACACTTGGAAATCTTTCTTTAATTAATTGTTATTTTGAACCTGTATTTTGCCTTTAGATCAAGTGTTTGCATAGTGTGTGTGTGTGTGTGTGTGTGTGTGTGTGTGTGTGTGTGTGTGTGTGTGTGTGTGTGTGTGTGTGTGTGTGTGTGTGTGTGTGTACCTTTAGTGTGTTCCTGTTGGGCTCAGGCAGCAGCAGGATGAGCAGGTTCAACATGTGGAGTTTCTGCCTAAGCTCTGTGATGTCTGTAGGAGGAGGGAGCAAAGTTAAGACGGGTAACACACACACACACACACACACACACACACACACACACACACACACACACACACACACACACACACACACACACACACACACACACACACACACACACACACCTCATTTCCTCTGTGTGTGTAAGAGTAATGGGATATCTTTAGATTAATGACATTGTGACAGGTGGCCATTAGGTTTGTTAGCTTATGTCTCTGTGGTCAAAAGTCATTTATCACTTTGTGCTGATTCTCCACAAACAAAACATCAGTGGGTCATCAATAAGATCATATTAATATGAGTCCATTCTTATATTAAGGTGAGACTATTGTGAAAATAGCACATCTTTTACGGCTGCTTTGTCACAGTGCGGGGACGCCTCTTCAAAGGCTATATGTCTGTTGATCTTAATGTTGGTTTCAGAAGCAGGAAGGGTAAAGCATTGGGCTGAAGAAGCTACAGAGGTAAATATAATGTGAACTGTGCGGAGCTCTCTTGGAGAAATGGGCAGATGATTTATGAAATCTTGTAGAAAAAGAAAAAGAGGTATGACTGACTTGTACAGTAAATGCAACTTGCCAGAAAAGTAAACACATGCACATTACAGTCAGATACACACCCTTCTGCTTACTGATGGAATTTATGATCCAAAACAGGGCTTGTCATTATTGTTATAGACGTTCTTTATTTACTTTACACTCTAAGTATATTAAAAGTTAAATGTCACAATAGTTGGCTACAAAAATAATTGCAGGGCAGACACAGCTGTATTAAGCATGGCTTAATTAGCATGGCTAAATTCAGACTTGTTTTTTATATAAAACATTGAGTAACTGGAGCCCCATTAATCAGTATCTTATTTCATCTAACTAATAAAGTGAATTAAAGGTATGTAAGTGTACCTCTTTCCATTTCAGTGAAACTGAAACTTCAAAAATAATACACAAACATACTTTTAATACAAACAACAGACGTCTCGTAATTGTAACAGCCTCACCCAAATGGACAAAAATAGAATTGGTGTGTTAGTGTGACACGACACTCTCTTTTCAAAGCTTACACTGTATATAAATCTGACGAGACTCCAACTGTTGCACACTGACCTCTGACGGCACTGAAGGTGTTGAGGTACTCGGGGGTGAGCAGCGGGGCGGGCAGTTCCCGGATGAACTTCTTGAGCAGCGCGGCGGCGTCGTTGGGACTCACGTCGTCCCAGCTGACCTGCCCCGAGTAGAAGTTTGTCTCCAAGTTCTGCTGCAGCATCTGCAGGTAGAAAACAACGAGAGGCTTTCAGAACGCAACAACACAGAGAGTCAGTGCAGAGTTACAGACATTACCATACATATCAGTGAATTTATTATCAGTGACTTTGTTCAACGCTTTTCAATTACTTTATTGTAATCAGATTAAGTTTCCCTAATTATCAACACAGAAACCATTTTTTGTTTGACTTGTTTGTTGAAAACATTTGCTTGTTTTAAAGGATTTGCGACTCCTTTGCGAGGCCTTCATGTAAACTTTTTAGAAAATGCAACTTCTGAATGGACCAAGGTTTTCAAGCGAATGGTAAATAGTAGCTTTTGTAAATGTTGCATTTTCAGTGACATTCATTTTGAATTATAGCGATAAGAAGAGCTCTTCACTCACAGAGCCGACATGGCAGCTAGTATCAAATGAACTCTTCATGGCTGTGGATGTTACAAACGGAGCATGAGGTCATAGCTAATTAACTGACACCATTATCAGTCTCTATTTGTGCCTTGCATGTATGAAAGTGTTTGTAAGAAATATCATCTTCAGTTTCTGATTCCTTTTTTCAGCCTTTTATGGAAATACTTCAATGGTTTAGGCCGGATTTTGAGTATAGAAATATGCTGAGGGTGGTAGAATATGACTATTTGTATGTCTTATTTTGGTCTAATTATATAACCATACAGATTTAAAAATGAAATATCAAAATGATCAATTCTCTCTCATTATCTTTTCTGTCTAATGTATAATCTGCCACAGGTAGTGATTGTCCCAGTGATTTGTTCTAATTTGCTAAATGGCGCCCTCTTCTGTCTGCTTCAGTTGAATTGATTCACCGTCAACTGTGCTTTGGGTGAATTCATTACAGTATGAGAAGGTGAATCTGGCAGCAACAGCTGGACAAACCTTTGTTGATTAAGTCCCATTGGACTTCTAAATGTCATCAATAGTTAAACTGAGAGAAGCTGCTTGGTTTTCTGTTCAACCACTTCTGACATTTAACATTTCCGATATATTTGCCCCCCTTTAGGTCATAAAACATCATTTCATATATTTGTTTTGGACATTAGAGAATTAAAAAGTGTAAAAGGAAACCATTTTGAGGAAATAATGTGGTGCAGTGTCAGTATTTGTGACTGTATGTGTGGATCCAAATGTTGTACCTTGATTCTGGACTGAGATCCTGGAACCCGCAGGATCCCCTCCGAATCAACGCCCTTCTTCTCCAAAAACGACAACAACTGCAGAGGGAGAGAGAGGAAAGAGAAAGAGACATTACAGCCAGGCAGCAGCAGATACGCATCTCACGCTCACCTCTGCTGGTTATTCTCAGTAACTGCTGCTACACGCAGGGTGTGGTCAAAGATGTTCACATTCAGAGGACACTGAGGTTGTTTTGATCTGCTTATCTCTAAAGACACTGTTTGCAGGTTCAACAAAACCAAATATGTGCTGAACACATGTTGAGCATGTGAATTAAAAAAAGATGCACCTGTCAGACCAGATCTATATCCGATCTGATATATTATGGGCACATTCAAAAACACTAATGATTTCAGAGGTTGTTTGGATGAAATACTAAACTAACAAGTCAAGCCCACATACAGTACACAGCACAGATAGTATCTAAAACAAATATGTTCATATAGAAACCCATCTTCTTTGTATTTATTTTCAAGGTCAGATGCACTTCAGGTTCTTACCGCTTGCATGTAGAGAGGAATTGAGGTGTTTGGCTTCATTTTCTGATCGTTTTCCAGCAGCGTGGCCAGCGGCACCCCGTACAGCGGGCTCTCTGTGAAACACACAACGTTTCATTTCATTGTTCTCTGCTTTACGTTGACATTTAGCCAAAGTTGTGTGTGTAATGCTGTGTGTGTGAGCAGGCCGACATGCAGAAGCTGCAGCGTGGCTGATAGATGTGTTGGAGCAGAACATGTACCTATAGTTTATTGTAGAGAGAAGAAATACAAAAATATTTAGCAAAGAGGCATGAGCTTTAAATAGATTCAAAGAATGCAGGGAACTGGAGGAGGTCTCTGCAGATTTTACACATTTGACAGTTTGTGCGAAGCTAGAGCTGGCGATAACCAGGTGCCATTTTGAGTCAGTTTTCCTTTGATGTCATTGGCTAACAATTAAAGAGAACATATTAGAACAACTGCACATAGTTATTATTGTATCGTCACAACAATAAATATGAGCCGTCTGCAGCATTTTTGTCCTGGTGTGTGTGTGTGTGTGTGTGTGTGTGTGTGTGTGTGTGTGTGTGTGTGTGTGTGTGTGTGTGTGTGTGTGTGTGTGTGTGTGTGTGTGTGGTGGTCGTGTGTGTGTATCATGCTCCCTTCATGTGTATGTGAGTACTTTCATACCTGTGTTTTTCCTCTTGCTGTGTTTTTGCCTTTTGACCTCCAGCTCTAAGAGGTCGCACAGCGCTGTCATGTCGATGAGAGCCAACTGACGCACCTTCTTCATGTCAGAGTGCGACAGATCCTGAACACGAGTTACTCCGAGACGGCACTTGGGGCAGATCACCCGCTGAGAAGGTGAGAGGCAGAGAGAAGTGAGGAGAGGAGGATTGGAGATGAAGTGGAGGTGAAGAGGACAAAGCAGAAAAAAAGCAGAAAGAGAGAGAATGGGAAGAAAATGGCAACAGTGTCAAATCCTCTACTTAATACTCAATGTAATGAAATCAGTCCTTTGCCTGATTAAAACTCTCTTTCCCTTTCACTGATGAAACTCATTTACCCTGTAATAAATAAATCGCTTGGACTCTGTGACACAACAACTCTTCTTTTGTTTTGAGCTAATCCCCTTATTCATTTATTCTGCTTAACCCTGTTATCTAACTAACAGCGAGGTAGATTAGAATTGGCTTACAATAACAATACTGTGTGAATTAACAGGTTTACATGAAAAAGACCCAAAACCCAACGTACATAGATCCGAACTGAGGCTGAAATGTTCTGCGGTTTCTGTGAAGCTAAAGCTCTAAATGACTGAGATTATTTTTCTTCCTTCATCAGAGATAAATCCACACGGTTCACAAAAAAGACAAACTGTTAATAGGGGTTATTATTCAACATTTATGTGCCTTCCCTTTCCAGAAGCTGTGCGATTACTTTCATGTCCTGTTTTCTGTCAATATCACACCCGCCAAAGTCATTGAATGTAGAAAATACACACAGTTGGAACGCTATTTCCCTTTTTGCCCCAATTGTCTTCCTATTTCATGATGTCAATGGGATGTTTACAAAGTTCCCTATTTGAAATGACACTTTCAAACTTTCCACAGTTTTCCAGTCATGAGTAGGCGAGGGGAGAGTGTTTTGGTGCTTACAGGCAGGGTGCAATCCACTTTCCTGCGCTGGCTGTTGTTCTGCGGCAGGCTGGCCTGTTTGAGGAAGATGACGGCCTGTTCGCAGTAAGCCACGTCGGTGATGAAGAACTCCTCTTTAGGAGCGCCTCGCTGATGCTCCGTCGGGACAGCTGAGCGGAAACAAACAAACTTTAGTCTATTTGTTCATGAAAGGAAGGTCACAGTAAATACGTAGCATGGAAATGAATTTGATGCACGGTCGGAAGGGAAATAGAGGAAGAAAAACAAATATGAGGAAATGTACCCACACGCTCTCTTTATCTTTTATCTACCAAAATAAGAGGACAAAACATTAGAAGGTGGGACCAAATTCCTAACTTGAGTCTCTTATTACTTTGGCATTTGTCATAGTAGCACTTTCTTTACTGGATATAACATGTGTATCTTTGTTGTTTAGAGATAGCATGTTTTTATTGTTAAAACATGCTAGTCAGTAAAACTCCAAGAAAGCAGAGAAACTCAGATGTTATTATTATTATTATTATTATTATATTAAGGATAGTTCCCCTCTTCATTTTTACTAAGTACAACACCGTAATACTTTTGAAAACATTGAGGTTTGATAAGTGACTAGTAGTAGTTACGTCAAAAGTGCAATATTTACATATATATCCTTCTGAAATGTAGTGGAGTAGAAGCATAATGGGGCATACAAAAGAATCAACTAAAGTAGAATTACCTTTTGTACTTAAGTACTGTACTTGCATTCCTTCATCAAATCTAGCAATTATTAAGTTATAAAGCCTTGTTTTTATCAATAACATTATCACAACAATTGTAGCTATTGCTGTTTGTGCTTTGAGTGTACTTTCAGTTCTTTGTTTTTCCCTTAGGTAACTTGTATACATGTGGCTTACTGTAATAGTACTACTGTGTGTAGCTCTTACCTGATAAAGGGGATTTGGGAAGTGATGCCATGCTGTTGTGGGCAGAGTCTTCACTATGATGGGAATCAGGCAAACGGGTCTGGTGAAAGAAAGCATTTAATAAAACGTCAAGTCCAATTCTAAGCATATGACCAAAGATTACAAATCACAAATGTGCCTGAAGGGGCTCCAGAAACTGTTTACAGCATAGGGAACCCTCTGACCTTGGACCCTGGATCCAGATTAGATAAAAACTCTCCAATAAATTGTTAAAGCAATTGTGGTGGGTTTAATCTCCTCCTATGTCTTGTGTACAGACATACAAGACTCTAAGGAACAACTTTAGTAAAAGAAAATCACTCCTGTAATATGTTCTCTACCAGTGGGAATAGCCTTGGTGTTTCATATTGTCCACTGAGCGGATGGAGCGAGTGTTTCCTTTGATAAGGGGCGGATAAGGATCAGAGGAGCAGTGTTCTCTCTCAGGACAGCTCAGACAGACAGGCGGGACAAAGCATGGCCTTTACAAGTGATTTGCCTTTATTGTCACAGGTCAGCTCCTCTGCATGGAACAAGACAGCCCAGCAGAGTCCTGACAGTCACCGGAGAAGTGGCTATTTTAGATTTCAATGCATGCAGCTTTGACTCAGAGAGCAGAGCTTGCTGTCAACTTGTGTGACAGAATAACAGAAATCCTGGAAATGCAGGCAACCATTTTATAATATCAAGAGGAGCTTAGTGTAAAATCCACATGTTGTTCATAAAGCAAATGTATGAATGTGACTAACCATTCAATACTGCTTTCATCTTAAGGACCCCATGAATAAAAAGCATGAAGTGCCATTGTTTTCATTTGAAGGCATCGACAGTTCCTCCAACAGCAGGATACCAGAGGTTGCGGTGCATTTAGTGATTCAAGTAGTTTTTTAAAAAGGTGTTTCAAAGTCCTGACCTTGGAGATGGAGGGGTTGAAGATGTCGCGGACGTCTCGAGGGGCCGGTTTGTTCCTCTTGCGGAGGGACAGCGTGTAGGAGTCCAGGCGCCGCTGGACGGCCTCGGCCTGGGTCCGGGTCAGAGTGGACAGCAGCACCGCGTTGTCTACATCCTCGCTGTCCTCGCTGATGAGGGTCGACAAACCAGCATCGACCAACCACTGCTCCTCCTGTTCGCCTTCTGAGACACAGAGAACACACAGACCACATGTCAATACACAGGGATGATGAAAACACGTACATATAATGCACATTTAAATGTAGTATTTTAGCAATTTTGACTACATGACTAGAATGGTTTTGTGCATAAAGTCTCTCAGTTTGTAGTATCTAATTACCAGTTTCAAACAAGTAATACTTGTACTAAGAAATATTTTCAAAGAAATGCCTTAGCTAGTTAAGACTTTAGTAATGTATCAATCTGCTAGGATACCTCTGTAGCACAGTCCAATCCAAAGCGTGTAAACAGGAAGTCGCTGTAGCATAACTATCAAATATAATATTGTCGGGGGTTACACAATAGATGTGACTTAACTGCCTGCCTTTTGTAAAAGTAATCATTTTATTTGTGTCTGCATTGTTGGACAAATAGGTGTTTCAGAGTAAGAAGTAGGGCTGCTAAATTAATCGTATTTTAATCGCGATTACGATTATGGCTCGCAACGATTACGAAAACAACGTAATCAAAATAAAACGATTTTTTTTTTATTATTACTTTTTTTTTTTTTTTTCAGTTGAATTATACTTTAAGTTCAGGGTAATCAACTGTTAAGAACATACTGTTCAAAGTCAATGAGTAATCGCATTTAATAATCGCAATTACAATTATTGACCCAAATAATCGAGATTATGATTTTTGCCATAATCGAGCAGCCCTAGTAAGAAGTGTGATATTAGTGATGGTTTAATAATATATTCTGACTATTTAGCTAAATGTGGCATAACGTTTTGTATTTTGAGGCATGTTGTTATATTTTCGTGAAGTGTGAATATCATTTTAACGCATTTTGATCAAGTGTTAGCTCAGATCTGTCAACCACAATTAGCCTTATCATTGTTGTCAATTGTTCAATGTAAACGGGGAATTTGCAAGTAATCTTATGCTAGCATTATGAGTTAATTCAGATATACACAGCAGTTACACTGGGAACTTAATGTAACTTTTTAATAACAACTAATCAGTCTTTAGAAATGAATAAATCTCAGATGAGTAAACGCTTAAAATGCAACCAAGAATGTGTTGCATGAAGAGCTTGTGGCACTAAATACAGTAGTTGCTAAATTGTAAAAGGTATGTAGAAAGACAATAAAATAATTTAATCTTGAAACTAAATAATGGGACACGCTAACAGATGCAAAATGCAGACTTCAGAGGATTTACTCATTAGTGGCAAATTCATTCAAAAGAGTGATCTCTTTAACATAGCATCAAAAGGATAGAATTAACACACCCAGATCATTTGAATGGACATAATAAAAAAGCATTCCCACGATGAAAGGCTTTGTGGTTTCTGCAGATAAAACACCCCCTGCCACAAAGTGTTTGATAGTGTTGTCATGGTGATAAGCACTTCTTTGCTGCAGGAGGGAAACCTGATACGTTGCCGTGGAGGACCTCAGCAGCAGCTTTGCTGAAAACTGATGCTTTGTCATTCTAAAAACAAGAACTCATGAAGTCTATCTCATCTGTCACTATCTATTCTTCATCTTTCAGAACAGGATTATCAGGATTTACCTTCTGATTGTCTGGAGTCTCTCCTGGAGCATTCGAGGTCTGTGTAGCCACTCCCCTGTCGGATGGTCTCCACCTCACTCCAGAACGAGTCCAGGCACAGTTTGTCGGGGTGCTGCTCCTGGTCCTCGCAGGATGCTGTGTGCGAGGTGCTGTGAGGGTGCTCAGCGGCTGCCTGGTCCTGCGGGCTGGCCCAGGGCTCCACGCTCATCTCGGTGGGGCTGGGATTTCTGTTGCAGACATACACACACGTAAAGAAATTGCACGCATGCATGCAAACCAACGAGCAGAGACACAAAGACGCATACAAACACAGGAGGAATAGACACTGGAGCGACGCGGGAAGGATGAATCAGCCGGGGGAACCCAGAGAGATGGAGACACAAAAGGAGCGGGATGGAGGGAGGGCCGGAGCAAGGAGAGACGGCGAGAGCGGACACAAAGGGGGGTCTCTATTGTTCTTGAAAAATACAGCCTGGAGGCACAGTACCCTGCATATCCACTAGATGTCACTGTTACAATGTGAGATCCTGTTGGTCACACCCATTTTTGTGCTGAAACAGACACATGGCTGAGTCCCACTCACAATAGAACAGAAAACATGCACAGAACAATTTCAGGAGAGTAAATCATAAATCATGTGAGATTCTTTACTGAACACAAACAGCAGAAATGCAGCCAGAAATCGCTCAGCATGCAACAACAGAGGGGACTGTTCTCTGCCAACAATGGGACACACTCAGCTGTAGGCAGCCTCTTATCCTCAGGCACTAAAATGTGATTTTGTTGATCACAGACACAGGAAGTGGTCAGCTGAGTCACTCCATCAGTGTGCGGTCCAGTCACATTCCTCCAGTCAGCGAATATCAAGAGACATACCAAACCACACTTGTCCATATCTGAGGAATGCCAGATGGCGTATCATGGCAACATGAGTGTATAGTTAGATGTATGAGAACACACCTGTCATACTTTCAGCTGTGAAGCAAAAAGCTAATCAAGAAAGTATTGATAAACGCAGCAACTAAATGTCTGTTCAATGCAGATCAGATTTGTTCCACATCAGTGCTTTGGTGTGTTAAACCAGTTTCAGGACATCTCAGAGTAGAGACGGGGGTGGGGGGCCTGTGATGTCAGAAGTTGTGAGTTTCACTAAGAAATGGGTATCAGTGCTGGACCGGAATAATCCAGTGCCAAGTAGTATCAAAACGTAGGCAATAAAACAATACCTGCATTCTTCCTTTTTGTAACCATATCTATCCAATACAATCCAACTGTATTTCTATAGCACTTTTAAAAACAACAGAGTGCTGTTCATCAATAAATATATATATTAAAAAACAAACAGACATGAAATAAATGTAAAACACAGGAAAATAAAACCATACTTAAAGCCACAGACTGAAAACTCTCATACGAGACGTAACAACAAAATAAAACCCCAATTTAAAAGCACAGACTGAAATGTCTTATAGGTGGTTTACGCACGGGAGAATAAGTGGGTCTTCAAGCGAGATTTATCAAGAAGAAAATACTATTGGTCTGGTTTTGCTTGCAGCCAATCACCAAGGATACATGCATTTCCTGTGACTTTTATTGGACCACTACTGCACCAGCTACAGCCTATACATATATATATACATTTATTTGTGTAAAAATCATTTGAATGGGGAGTGATGATGGCATTTTACACAAGTGAATGCTTCCATGTTCATGATGGTAATTGAATGAAGTCCAAAAAAAAGTACTACATGTATATTGTTCTCAGAGTATTTGTTTTATTTTTCTAATAATACCAAGCCCTAGTTTCACAGTATTCTGAATTCATATACTCTATTATGCAAGAAACAATTTCAGTGATAAGGACTGGATTTTAAAATAAAAATGTGTTATGGAAACAGTAGTGAAGAAATCATGTCTTAAGATGAAAATGCAGGTGTGCCACCATCCCTATTTCATAACTACTTTTAATCGCATTAATCCTCTGCATTAAGCATAAACTGTGAAATTTTGTTGAGTTAAATGAATCATGCCATTGTTTTACTCTCCAAACAGGTATGATTACATTCCGACATATATCAGAGCAGTATGTAATGGGACAGAGCAGTTTAGTGAGATTTTTATTTTTCACTAGTTGACTTTCTTAAAATGGTTCTCACTACACATTAACTGACCCAGACATTGTATGCTCATAGACTATTGCAAAATATGATGCAGAGTTAATGTACTGGAATGTATCAGCAATAGTACAGACCTAGTGTGTCTGAATGCAAGCGTTACTGGCTAGACAAAACACGATTATCAGCTATTTGTCCAATTATAAATCAAGTGTTGAGTCTATAAAATGTCATAAAATAGTGGAAGAAGGTCCATCATACAGTATGAGTCAAACCCTTATCTTTCAAATTGCTGCTTTAACTGGGCCAGCAGAGCCCAACTCAGAGATATTCGATTAAAAAACAAAAAAAACAGAGAAAAGCAGAAAATCCTCACAACTGAGTAGCTCAAATCAGCAAAAAAAATTAAAGTGAAAAAAATTAATATAACAATTAATCAATTATCCAATTTTCTGTTAAGAAATGTTCTGTTCCATCAATCCTTTCCGCTTAAGATTACTTTTTTAAAACGGTTTATAAGTCACAGTTAAAATGTAACATCACGTTTTATGATCTGTCTATATATATGATCTGTTAATAACATTTGGAAACACTTACATGTTTGTTAAGAGGAATTATCTCCATCAGATCCAACATGTTTTAGGGAAAGAGAATATCGTATCTACTATGTAAACAGCACTCCACTTTAGCCAATGACTTAAGAGTTACGTTATAGAGTCAGTAACGGGAGCGAACATGTGGTGAAGCATTCCTCATAAGCAGAATTGACATAATCCGTGATATCTTAATACAAAATCTGCCTCACTAGATCGCCCACACACATCTGTACAAAGCCACAACATGTGCTCACAATCTGCCACTATTATGCACACACCACATCAAGCCTGAGAGATCAGAGGTCTGCAGACAGCTGGATCACAGCAGTGCAATCTGGATCCACTTCAACTTCAAGGGATGCAGCCAGAACTCACATGAGACAAAATAATTGAGCATAATTGTTATAAAGCGCTCAAGAAAAACTTTATTGTATGAAGGTTTGTCTTTAGAATATCAGGACAAATGTCAAAATATAGCCAACATCTAAAAAATGTGTGAAACTTCACAGTATCCACCACATATCCATTCTGAATGATGCGTTTCTTTTACCACACAGTGTACCATCCATACATCTTCACTTTATTTGACCACATATACAACACCCAAGCTTCCACCAAACATTTATGAATTTGATCCTTCTGATACAGCTCCATCTCATCACACATACCTGTCTTTTTTCTTTCGGGAACAAGGTTTCACGCGCCTAGTCTTCGCTGGGCTGAGGCCAGGACGGAGCCTGAAACGGTTCAACCTGGCGCGTGGAAACTGCATGGTGGACCCGAGACTGCTCACCAATACCTCCTCTCTGCCTCCCATATCAACAATGCTAAAGAAATCCATGAATTACAGTCCAGCACAAAAACCTAGCCTTATCCAGTCCTGTTGGTTAGCCACCATGTGAGTGCAGTGTAAATCTGATCGCTGCTCAAAGTTCTCTGTTCTGAGTGTGCTGTTGTAAGACTGCCCTGAGGCTTGGAGCTGTGTGGCGCGTGATTGTGAGCAGAGTGGAGCTGGATCAGGAATGCAGGAGGGAGTGACAACTCTCTGAACATCAACACTTCATTCACACCTGTCCCCTACCTCACCACAGGGGACACACCCTGTGGGCCATCCAATGTGGTTCAAACTAGAAGGTTAGACACTTTTAAAAACTAGTCAAAACACTTTGGGCTGTAATAATAGGGCTGCACGATATATCGTGTCGTGAGGATAATCGTTTTGTTTTTTTATAGGACGTGCAATATTAAGTAGGCAAATGAACTCAAACACGTCATGTTACAGTTCTGTTGCTGCTTGCTACAAAAGGGAAAAGTACTTGAGTGAGTGACATGCAGGCCCTGCATGCACAGCAAACCACCAATCACAACCATTCTTGATCAGATCACAGCAGGATAACCATTACATTACATTACATGACATGTTACTTGTTAGACGCTTTTATCCAAAGCGACATACATTCAGTACTGTGGACAATCCCCACAGGAGCAATTTGGGGTGAAGTGTCTTACCCAGGGACACAACGACATGCTGACTGCAGTGGGACTCAAACTTGCTACCCCCTGATTCGAAGTCAATCATACTTTCCACTGAGCCACAGCCTCCCTTAACCGAGCAAGCTCAGCTTGTTGCTCTGATAACTTAAGATCCAGAAGTCCGTGATTAAAATCCTTCATCTGGTTAAATGTCGTTAAAAAAATACCAATTGTATAGCATTAAAGTTCAAGAAAGGATGGTTTGCGTACAAAAAAAACGGTCTTTTCTTCCATTCCTGTATTTTTTCATATCGCAATATATATTGCAGGGGGAAAAAATATCTATTTTGTAATTGCTATTACAATTAACATGATTTTTCCTTTTGTAACTATATGGTTGTGTTGGCAACATCAAATGAAATGCCACATACTAGTGGTGAAACGCTCATGAGGTAGTAGGCTGATTCAAATCATGCCTTATATGCAGAAGGTAGCTACATATTGCAACATCCATACCTATCCTAGTCCAACCTCATACCTGAGCTCTTACCCAAACAGTTGCGATAAATTATGTCAGGTATCTGAGTGCTGATGTGATGTCAGTGAATGAGCATGAAGCGAGAGAGCGAGAGTGCAACAGGTTGCAACCCCTCACCAAATCACTGGCTTATCATCTCTCTTATCCTGCTGATGACTTATCAGCTGAGGATGTAGAAAGACAAAAGCAGATGCCTGGTAAGACAAAGATAAACACATTACAGTGGTTTGGAAACTCGGGTCACTTAAGAAAAACCTACAAGTTGACTATTTTCACACATTTCACCTCAACAGAGATGGATGCATTTTGAGAACACATTTCCTTAAAACATCAACAGAAACGTATGAGTTACAACAGTTACTTATACCTCTGCAGTTTGTTATACAACTCAGCTTTCTTTGTAAAAATGTATCTGAAATAAAGGACTCCACAGATAAATAATAGTCTAAACTCAAATGACCTCAAACTAAGTATGTCAGCAACCGCACTATGGAACACCCTCAGAGAACAAATGAAAAGGGGGGAAAGTCCCCTTGTTTTGCCTCAAGACGCAAGAGCAAAAGCAGCACTGTCATATTTCAAACCCAGCTAAGAATACTCTTTACCATGCCAGTAAGTAATAAAGAAGCCACAAAACAACTCCTGAAAAGGCCACAGTGTTGGGATTGTTTCTTGTTGAATAGGCCTCACACTAATACAGAGAATCAACAGGAAACTATCCACTCTGAGAGAAGAATGAACAACATATCAAACTGCTGTCTTGTGTTTATTCTCAGCACTGTGGGAAACAACACAAAGTAATCCCAAACTAAAATACCCTGGATGAGAAACATGGTAATCCACCAGGAAAAAAAAGCAGCTCGTGTTAAAAGCAACACACTGTTTAATCCCCGGGGCTGAATTCCATGGCAAGCCTCTTAGCTTGCAGAGAATGCAACAGTTTGCTCACACAGCCTAGAGAAAGTGTTTCTTGTCAAACCCTGTCACAGCATATGCAATCCGTCCATTACAGCAAATCCTCAACACAGAAAGAAAACCAAAGTGCCAAAAGAAACTAAGAGACGCAGCATAGATACTCAAAAGTATGCAACTGTTGCACTGGCCAGTAAAATAAAAAGCAAACCAATGCGTACAGTCATCAAAGAAAACTGTTAGGACGTCCAGCTCCAAGTTTAGCTTAATAGTGGAGCTTAATCCATACATGAGTGAGCCCCTAGTCCCAGCATGCCACAGGGGCAGCAGAGGCCTGATCCTACCTGGCCTTGGCCCTCACGTTGGCTCTGCCCGAGAGCAGCAGCAGGGCCGCCGAGCCACTTCTCCCCCATGGCATCCTGCTGTTGTCCCCCCGATCTGCTGCACGCTGAAGGAAAC